TTTGGTGCGCATCGCTGGGCCCTGCTTATATGTATATTTCAATTTTCATGTGCAGCGCCGTGAAAATTAATTGTTATCGAAAGGAATAAATATTTAAATCGGGCAAATCGGTAAAAATTCAACAAATTGGCCAAAATCCAGCTCAGACTGTCGGGCATTTGCATATTCCGCCTGATTTTGTTGTAAACTCTCAACTTACAGCGTGTAACAAACTAACGAACACGAGAATCAAAAATCAAATTTAAAACCAAAATAATTGAAGTATAGGCAGGCGTTTTGAGCGTTGCATATACATATATTTATTTATATATATATTTTTACAGATAAATACTCTGTACACACAATTCGAGCGGTAAGGGGCGCTGAGTCGAGGGCTTGATCCACCCGAACGAGATGTGCGTATATAAACACAAGTATAACCAATCAAAAATCCAATTAAAATTGAGGAAAATTCGATTTGCATGTAAAATATGGAAAAAAAGAGAGACGTGAAACGAGAAGCGAAGAGAACTCTCTCGCCCCGCACAAAAACGAGGGTTGAGGAGGTGAAAACATAAAAAATATTTGGTATATGCGAAATTGAAAAGCCTGAAAAAAGGGCAGCTCGACACCAGGAGAACTCGACTCTGTTGGCACTGGATTGATGTGAATTGTGAATAGGGATCTGGCACCAAATAAAAAAGCGGCAAAGGCGGGCGGGAAAAAATGCAAATAATAATATAAAACAAATTTTGTTACCCATACCAAATAAAATGGCGATATAGTTTGGGGCTCACGAATTGATTTGTCTGGAGGAGTTTAGTGCCTTAAATCTATTTATTGTGCGCATAATTTAATCTTGTTTATTTTTCTCTTTTCCAGGTAAGTTCAAGTTCTCTCTACCAGAAGTTTTAGCCTTAAGCTCGCAGTAAGTTTGTGATCTACTAACAATACCATTCAACAGTTTCATAAAATAGTTATGCCCAGAATCTTTTCAACTGAATTCCCAAATTCTTCACTCTGCAACCTAAGAATTTCTTTCTCCTATGTTGACTGTTTTTTATTGCTGCTCCCTGCATCTGTGTTAGCTGCGTTTGAGATGCTCTCCTGAAAAAAGGGGTTGACTTCACCGCGGAATTCGGCTTAGTTTGGCTCATTTGTGCATTTGACACTTTCCATTGAATTGGCCAAAAAGCAATTTATTTAGCAAATTATTAAGCACATTACGTATAGAGGCCTTTGTCGATTTAATTAGTTTATTATTTGCGTTACTGTGTGTTTGTGTGGTAAAATTGCGAATTATTATTGTTTAGCTGTTGTTAATAACTTTGGCGATGGCGATTTTTAGCGCGACTACGATTTTAATTGCGTATTTTTGTGCGCCCTTTTCGCACAATGAGGGCTAGTGTGTGTGTGTGTGTTTTGTGTGTGTGTGGCTGAGTGTTAATTAATTTTGTGCTTGAATCGCCGTCAGTTGCATTTGCAATTGACTGCAAAACGGCAAGTGCAAAGTGACCCCAGGATCGTTGCGTCGCCGTTTAATTAGTCCTCAGTTTCCAATTAAATATTGCTCTTGCACTAATTAAATTTCACTTTTTGTAGCTCTTCCCCTTTGCACGAAACCCATGTAATTTGTACAAAATTAATTAGAAATGTCCCCCGTTCTCCCTGTCAACCCTCTCAACTCACTCATCTCGCATCGAAGTGAAGTGAAGGCGAGCACGCAAAATCAAATCAAATCAGAGACTGTCGCCGAAAGCGTGGCTAAGAAAAATAACTCAAGGTAAATAAATAATTGAATTTGTAGGGGTATGATATATGTCCCTATTAATGAAATACCACACAGTAGAATATATGTTTACACAAAATAGTTTATAGTTTTATTATTATTTTATTTCACAAGTTTTATCTGGTCAGGATCACTGCTGGCATTCAACTAACTTCGCTCTCAGCTCACGACTCGAACCAACCCCCGACTCTCTGAGAGAGTGAGTGTGGTGAGATCGCAAGAGAGAGAGTAAGCTCTACAACAACAACAACGTACTCTAAGAATATTCAGGAATGTTCTAGAAGGAATACAATAACTTATACATACATACATACTACTACGTAGCCATCCTGCTACAATTCGGCCGTCCTGACATTTCAAGATCCCCTGATCTTGGTTTAATTTACAATTGATTTCATCTAAAATTATCTTACATACTATCAGTCTTTAGATTTACAATTCTTTGGATATATTTACAGCTATTTTCGTTTACCAATCCAATGCTTAATATTTTGACTACTCCAGACTCCTTGATAAGGGCAACGCGACAATTGAAAACCTTCCACATCTTTTATTACATACCTATCATTTCTCAAAACTTTATCTATAACATAAGGACCCTTGTGTTTGGGTATTAGCTTCCTTGCGACTCCTACTGCATTATCGAAATTTTTCACCATAATATAATCTCCAACTTTGTACTCTAAACTATCCTTCCTTTTTTCATTGTATCTTCTTTCGTTGTCATTTTGTAATTTGATTTGCGATTCCACTCCATTTTTCCTAATTTTGTCTAAATCTCTAACATCACTAACATTATCTAATTCTTCTAACTTTTGCCTCAATTCATCAATAACTTTTCCTTTCTGTTCGATTCCAAACAACATTTTACTCGGCATTTGTGCAATGCTTCTTTGCTTTGTATTGTTCAATGAAAATTCAACGTCCTCAACAACTGTATCCCAATGCAGTCCTTTTTCCGGATCTGCTAATTTAGCTATCATTGGCCCAATTATTCTATTAATTCTTTCCACCTGCCCATTGGCCTGAGGTGACCCAGTCGCAATTTTTACGTGCTTAATATTATATTCTTCGACAAATCTTCCAAACTCTTCCGATGTAAAACAGCTTCCTCTGTCCGAAACGATACATGTTGGCCTGCTGTACGACCTAAAATAATCTTTCATTGCTATAATAACTTCTTTCGTGTTCGTCGTCTTTGTTGCATATAGCCTAACGTATTTAGTAAAACCGTCTATCACCACAAACAAATGTTTCTTTGATCTTCCATTATCAACCGGTCCGTAATGATCGATATGTATAATTTCGAATGGCACATTTCCTTTTGGTATGCTGTGCAACATTCCTTCCCCTTTTCCTGACTTTGGCGAATATGCCACACATCTCAAACAATTATCAATATGTCTAACAACTTTTTCTTTCATATTCGGAAACCAATACGTCCTAACAATAGCATCCATAACCTTGTCTCGTCCTAAATGACCTAATTCATTGTGATATTTGTATAATATCTTGTCCTCCATTTCTCCTGGCACACAGAATAACAATTTCCCATCATTTGATTTTCTATAAATAACTCCATTTCTCATCTCAAACATTTTATCTTCCTCTTTTTCTAACTTTTTCCTAACATCTTTCAACTTTTCATCTTTCGCTTGACAAATAATTAAATTGTCTTCAAAACTATTCGTTTCTACTACCAGTATATTCGTATTCCTACTTAACGCGTCTACGTGTTGCATAAGTTTTCCCGATTTATGAACTAACTCAAAGTCATACTCAAGCAATTCTAATGCCCATCGTGCAATTCGAGGGTTTAACTCAATCCTATTTAATGTTAACGTCAGTGAGTTACAATCAGTAACTATTCTAAATCGTCTACCCTGCACATAAATTCTAAATCTTCGTAGAGCATAAATTATTGCTAACGTTTCAAGTTCAAAACTGTGATATTTTGCCTCGTCTTTTGTTGTGGCCTTTGAAAAATAAAAAATAGGGTGCAACTTTTTATCCTCTTTCCTTTGTAGTAAGACCGCTCCAAAACCTTGTGCGCTTGCATCTGTATGCAATTCTATCTCGTCTTTATAATAATATAATCCTAACACTGGCGCTTCAACTAACATTTTCTTAAGCATCTCAAAACATTGTAGTTCCCTTTCTTCAAATGCAAACTCTTTATCTTTCTTTAACAGGTCATATAATGGTTTTGCGATCATCGAAAAATTCTTAATGAATCTCCTAAAATACGAACATAAACCTAAAAAGCTTCTAACACCATGTACTTTATCTGGAACAGGGAAATCTCTAACAGCTTCTATTCCTTTATCATTAGCTTGTATTCCCTTGCTGGTTACTAAAAAACCTAAATATTGTACACTTGCTTGTAAAAACTCACATTTGTCCATTCTCAATTCTAGTTTGTTTCTTGCTAAACGATCAAAAACTTCCCTAAGAACATTTAAATGTTCCTGTATCTCTTTACTGGCGATCATAATGTCGTCCATATATATTACTACCTTACCATCCCTAATCATGTCCGCAAAAATTGTATTAATAAATCTCTGAAACACCGCAGGAGCGTTTTTAAGCCCCATTGGCATTCGCATAAATTCAAATTGTCCTAATGGCGTCATAAATGAAGTATATTTTATTGAGTCCTTATCCACAAATACATGAAAGTAGCCATGTTTTAAATCTAATTTCGAAAATATTGTTTTATTTACTAAAGTGTCTAACAAATCGTCAATTAAAGGTAAAGGATAGTTATCTTTAACCATTGTCTTATTAAGTTTTCGATAATCCACACATAGTCGTAAGTCGCCTGTTTTCTTTTTTACTAACACTATTGGAGATGCGTACTCCGATTGACTTGGTCTTATAATTCCCTCGTTTAAGTATTCATCTAATATAACCTGTAACTTTTCTTTTTCTGTATAAGCTAAACGTCTGGGCGAACAACTAAAAGGTTTAGAATCCTCTAATCTTAATTTTATTTCACATCTAACTTCGGGTTCCTTTGGTCTTTGTTTATTTACATAACAGCTTTCTACCATTTTAATAAAATGACGCCTAACATTATAATTCACTTCATTGCCAATTTTGTAATCTGGACTTTCATCTGTAATATTAATATTAAACAATTCCCTTGCCACTAGATCTATTTCATTGCTATTCCTAACTATTTCTTTATCTGTAACTTTACTAACATTTCTAATCATCCGCCTATTGTCGCTAATTTTATCACTAACATTGCTAACTATCTGGTTTTCATGACTAACAATATCACTAACAATCTGATTTTCTTCTCTAACATTTCTAACAATATCACTAACATTTGGAGGGTTTTCAATGTTCTCAACCGTAACCATTTTCAAAGTGTCGAGGTTTAAATTAATATTACATGCTTCCATAAAATCTCTTCCAAGGACTACATCATGACTCATAGATTTGTTTGCCACAATAACTAAATGAAAATGAATTTTATTTAAATTCTTCATAACATAACACAATATTTTGCCATAGGTTTCTAAGTAACTCTTATTTAATCCATGATATAAACTTAAAACTGGTAATTTGCAAACATTTTCTGGTACTTTTGATATTTTAATAAATGAAATCGGGCTCCCTGTATCTATGAGACATTCTGTAGTTAACTTGGTATTAATATCATTCATAAAATTGATTTCAACGTATCTTACATAATTATTATTGCCTGTGTTCTTATTTTTGCTCTTCAAACACGTCGCCACAAAATGTCCCATCTCGCCGCACGCATAGCACGATCCTTTCTCCCGTTTTGACTTTCTGCACTCGTTCGCCCAATGCCCTTTGGCATTGCAATTGAAACATCGTGTCTCCTTCTTGTCCTTGAAGTCCAATGATGTCATCGGTTTTCCAACAGATTTCGGCAATCTAACATCGGCAAATGCTCGCTTTATGTGCCCAACATCCACAAAGCTTTGAATGTGCGCCAGATTGCGCAGCCCTTGATTTGTAATACCTTCGATGATGCAGCTCAACATTTCATCTCCATCAATATTAATGCCCTGAGCAAGCATTATCTTGTCGTCAACATAACTCCCGAACGTCTCGCCTGCACTCCATTTGCGATGCTCAAATTTGCGCCTTATCTCCAGCTTTGATGATTTTTCGCCAAACATTGCGATCAGCTCAGCCGTTAATTCCTCCAATGGTAACAAAACACGCCCAGCATTTGCGTGCAACCAAACATTAGCTTTGCCTTTAATTTTGCTAATCATCAACATTTTTATATAATTTCCGGTTATACCGTAGATGCTTGCGATATTATATATCCGAGTGATCCATTTGCGCGCACATGATTCGCCCGCAAACTCACACAACACTTGCGTAGCCATTCTCAAAGAAATGTCTATACTTTGATTAAAATTGTTCTCCATCTTTTCTTTCTCTCCAGCTTGGTTCTGCATGTTCACTTCCGCACAGTTTCGATTTCTGCCTCCACCTTTGTTCTGTTTGCCGTCTCTTTCGTAGCTTCTTTCACCTCTTGTTTCCTCGCCAGCTTCGCTTTCGTTTTCTCCATCTTCGCGTATATATTCCCGAACTTTTTCACCGTCTTCGCCTTTGTTGTTCTTTTCGCCAACTTTGTTCTTGCCTTCTCCATCTTCGCTATTAATTTCGTCGCCTTCTTCTACTTCGTAATCCTTTTTACCGCCGTCTTCGTTGTTACTTTTGCCGCCGTCTTCTTCCTCGAAATTCTCGATGCCGCCGTCTTTGCAGTTACTTCTATCGCCGTCTCGTTCTTGGAATTTCTCTTTGCCTCCGTCTTCTCCTTTACTTCTTTCGCCGTCTCGATTCTCCTTCATTTCGTTAAACTTATTGCGTTTTTCGCTCGGTAATTTGTTTAAACGTAAAATCAACTCCTGTTTTGAACCAGTCGTTGAACATTTTAATACACTTAACCATATTTTTAATTGTTTTATCGATACTTTGTTCAAATCCATTTTGTTCTATTAAATTGTTTCACTTTCTTAGTTTTTAAACTTGTAGTTTTTAATTTGTTTGGCACGTGATCGGCCCACTTCTGATTTTGTAGGGGTATGATATATGTCCCTATTAATGAAATACCACACAGTAGAATATATGTTTACACAAAATAGTTTATAGTTTTATTATTATTTTATTTCACAAGTTTTATCTGGTCAGGATCACTGCTGGCATTCAACTAACTTCGCTCTCAGCTCACGACTCGAACCAACCCCCGACTCTCTGAGAGAGTGAGTGTGGTGAGATCGCAAGAGAGAGAGTAAGCTCTACAACAACAACAACGTACTCTAAGAATATTCAGGAATGTTCTAGAAGGAATACAATAACTTATACATACATACATACTACTACGTAGCCATCCTGCTACAAATTCATTAGGCAAATGAAAAATCCCGACACGAAGACCTAAAGGATCGGGAGAAGGATAGATATAAATAGAAAGGAAAGGTTGGGAGGAGGTCCGCATATTGACCCAAATCCGCAGGACAACAAGACAGTCGCCTGTCAGAGCTGTTAAAAACGTAAACACACAAATAAAATACATTGTTTACCCACACACAGACAAAGACACACACATGACACCGGTGTTCAAAGGACATTACCTGCGTCACGCCCTTCTCGAGTTCAGCGCTCTCCTTTACGGCTGCTCATTAGTGACGAAAATCGAACAACCGAGCTAAAAACTAACAACGAAAACAAGCCACACATAGCCCCTTCAAAGGATCCGGAATACGGAATACGGGATTCAGGACTCAGGATGACGACGATGTCGAAAGGAGGAGGCGCTGACAAAAATACGAAAAATAACAATGGCAGCGACAAGGAAGCAAACAATACGACAGAAATAATACTGACAGGGACAGGTAGATAGGAATACATGTATATATAGGAATATATAGAAAAGCAGGACGAATGGGGCATAACAACAACCATAATAATAATGAAGCACACACCCACTCCTTATCACATTGTGGCCACATTAGAGGTGTGCGAGTGTGTGGTTAGGAGCTTTTCCTCTGGATTTTTCGTTAGTTTCAGGTTAACAAAAGCAGAGCCAGAGGGTTGTTGGCCGGAAAAGGCGGCATTATTGATTCCAGAGCGTGTAATCATCGAGATGAAATGTCACAGCGGTCGCAGCTGCGGATGTGGAAGCGTCGAATATGTATCTCATTAGCCCGTGATGGATGTTATCCAATTATCTCTAGCTTAAATACAGCAAATCCCTGACAAGCACTAAGAATATTTCGCACACGAAATTGCAACGCAGCCCCCAAAACTAAACGAAACAAAACAGGACAGCAGAGTAGAGTACAGGTAGTTTGTGGGAAGCCACTACACGCTTCATTATGCAGCAAATTAGGCCCGAGACGAGACGAGAGGAGAAATGCTTGGCAGCCGGGGGCCCGAGATGATGAAACGAAATTATGCATTATGCATGGAAAACATGCAGGCCAGATCCTGCCAGGACCAGGCCCCATTACACGTCAAGACGCGACGACAAACTTACCCAGCTTTATATGTGTATCCTTGTATCCTTGCCTGGGTCCCCAACTTTATTATTAAATCCGAAAACTTGAATCCAAGAGGTAGAGGCAGAGGCAGAGAGAGCTCAGCTCTCGGGAGTGCACTCGTTGCACAGTGAGTTATTAACACGCCTTGCCACATTTGCTGCCGAGCTAATGTGGCTGGGTTTAGTGGCTGCCCCACCTGAAAGGCCACCCCAAAACCACCCACCCTGTCTCCATTTCGGGGCCACGGCTCCTGTGCCTGTCATTATGCTAAACTAAACGGCTGGCAGTGCTAGAATTTGCACCCGCAACCAGGATGCCTCGTGCCTCATGCCTAATGCCTCATGCTTCATGCCACTTTCCACTTGCCACGCCCCCCCTCCCCTGTCACCCCCTTGGGCAACTGCACGTGCTTTTGCCAGGTATAACGGTAACATTTCCGTTGCAGCTTCCGCTGCTGCGAGCGCTTTATAATTATTTCGCCTGGCGGGCCTCCAGTTGATGGCATATGCTGCCTGTTGCCGTTGCCTGGATTGTCAGGACATGTACGTGTTGCACGCTGCTGCAAGTGTGTGTGTGCGAGAGAGTTATAAGCTTCATTAAGCATATGTACAGCACGTTGTAAGCCCTCTGTGCGATTGTGTGCGAGTGTCTGCTGCAATTAAGCATATTTAGCATAAGGATTTGTCATTTACGCCAAACTCACTTCCAGTGCCAGATAGTTTTGGTTCAAAAATGTATAATTAAGTGAGTGGTTTAATAAAGTCTTTAATATCCAATATCCCATATCCCCGAGCACTTCGCCCATCATCGCCTCTCCATCCAGCTTAAAGCCCAAAGCCAGAGTGGCTGACATTTCTATTAAAATCCACCAGCCCATGGTAGCCTCAAATTGCTTTGACCTTTGAGCACCAGATGCGACGACGGCCTCCCCTGGCTCATAACTCTCTGGCTTGGGGAGCGAAAAAATTCTTACACACGCACATTAAGTCACGTTTTCGCACCATTAACCCATAAAGAACGAGGAGTCGGGAAGGCGGCGGCAGAAGATTTACAAATATTGAACTTTTTTCTGCTTTTTGTTGCTGCCGGCTTTCAAGTCGTAAAGCAGTCACAAGCATATTTTATAGATTTTAATATGCGAGCGGAATACGCACATAACACAAAAAAAGAAGAGAAAAGCGAACTGCCTGACTTTTAAATTCATGCCGAAAAGAAGGCCTTATTTTCGGGCAGGTTTCTCATTCACCCTTGTCAGACTTCCGCGTTGCGTTTAGTGACTTTTTTCCCTTCGAGTGCCGTGCCCTCTGACAGAGTGTCAACGTTCCCGGTGGTTGGACTGGGAATGTGTGGCAGCTTGATAAGGGTTTATCAATGCGACACAGTAACTCAGTGATTTACTCGTGTGTGCGTTGAATTTTTTTCTAATTTTGAAAATTGAAAAAGTGACTTTTGCTTTTTTGACTCTATATCCCCGGAGTGGTTAGGGAGCGGGGGTTGTCCCCCACTCTTCCCTTAAATGTAATTGAAACCGCCTTAGACACACAGAAAAACTTAGTGGAAGATCTCGATTGAATACATAGTTTATATCTACCTTTACTTTCTCCCTACTCTTTGCTGGCAGCAATTTGCTTTAATTGTCATTACCATTGATTGCATTCGCCTGTAGTACAATCCACCGTCTTCCTGCTTCCAACTAACATTTCAATCTGCCAGCCCACAAAGTTGCCAAAAATTGTTGTGGTTCTCCCTGCTGCCAGCTTTCTGCTCCATCTTTTCACCTAGCACACACACACAGAAAATATTGTGGGAAAAAGCGCTTTTCATCTTATGAAATCATTTTTGGCTTTCAAGGATTTCTGGGCACACACACAGGCACTCGAAAGATACACCTTGCTACAGTGCTATTTAAAATAAATACAGTCTCTCTCTCTCTCGCCCACACACATTGGAAAAGCAAATAAATTGGTTTCGTAACCGCAAAAGCCAAGCGGAGAGGGGCAGTCACTTTCTCACATCAATTCAATTCAATCAGACATCAAGCATATACAATTTTCACTCGCAACACAAGAATTATACAATCAATGGCTTGCCAGCGAGCAGACTTTCAGCCTCGGCTTCAACCTGCCCCCCGAGTCCTGAACCCAGAATACAGAATCCTGGTATCTGGCTGGAGAGGAAATAAAATGCGGCAGGCACGTTGCAACACTATTACTTATTTCGCCGGGCTCACAGACAGGCAGGCGCAGACGACAAGGACGACGTCTGACTGAAATGAACTACGTTTGTTTGTGATTGTGCGGCTGTGCGCAGGTGGGTTTTCCACCCGGGTACAGGTGAGGGTACTTTTTCGGGGAATCCAGGGGGTTGGCAGTCCAAAAATGCAATAATCTTTCAGCGCCGTCGTCGTCAGCGTTTAAACGTGACTTTTAAGCATGATGTTGTAATATTTTAACTTGACTAAGAAAGGCGAAAGAGGGAAGTGGAACTGGAAAGACCATATAGCCAGGGGTTGGATCCTCCATTGTGTGCGGCTGCGAAATTGTTACAAATGCCCCCAGCGTGCATTTTATGGCCAGTGCGATAAATAAAATGTTGCAACAAACAGGGCACACACACAAACGTACAAACACATGCCGAGATGGCCAGAAATATGTGCAAATAATATGGGAGAGCCAAGGTACGAATAGTCCTTCCTGCTCCTGGGCTGCCAGACAAACAATAACATAAATTTCGTTAGCTATTTTATTTTTTAGCCTCGTTGTGTGTGTGTGTGTGCTCGTGCCAAGTAATTGTGCAATATGTTTTAGAGGCTGGCAGGCAAGAGCCTTGACCAGGATGCGGAGTTGCTTACTGGTCGCTAAGTAGTTGAAAGTCAACGGAGATCAGGCTGCCTTTAAAGGGACTCTC